TATATATAAAATGTGTTTCGTTGATTGTTGACACAAATATGTTTGTGAAAGTTTATTGCTACACGTATATTTATAGTTGAAAAAATTATTTGACGATAAATCATCTGGTTGATCGACATTTGACAACACGATGGTTTTGAAGACTAATATAAATTTTATTAATTGGATGGATAATTTTTTGTATTTGCTTATCACTTTGCGGAGAAGTTGAAAAAATGGAAGATTTATTTTTACGGAGAAGGTACGCAAATATTATACGATCCATGGAGACAGAAAAGTATATTTACCAATAATTCAAGTGATATTAATTGATGAAGAATTAATAGCAATAAAGTTCTGCGTTTTAAGCAGAGAAAATATAAAACTTTGAGTTCACTTTCATACGAATCTCTAAACATACACTTCCCATGTTGCAAAGATTAGTGTACGCTTTTTGTTTGTGTGTAAGTGTGTACTTTTTTTTTCTTTTTTTTTTTCTGCAGCTATGCCTATAAATTATTTACTATCGACTATTTACGCAGACGTTTACATGACAAAAGTAGGTGGGTATTTTTCTGTGTTAACGTCACTAAGAAAAAAAAAAAAAGAACCGTCAGTGTTGTGAACTAATCGTTACATTTCTAACTTAACAAAACACTAACTACTAATGACTAAAGTCGTTGTTTAGTGAAAAATTTACCATGAATGTAAATTATTTTATTAAAAAAAATTTTAAACTGATTGATGTTTCAACTATGAAGTACAAAACTTCTCGATGATTAAAAACTGTTTATTACAAATAACAAAAACAGTAAATGAAGTTGATGTTTCCCTATAAAAATTGTAACGAACAATCAAAAGTTTTAATTACCCGTCACTTGGTGAAGACTTGAAAATTGAGCTTTTTTCTTTATGAAACTCAGTCTTTGCATGAAAAATTTTTTTATTCTATTCGTTCTGTCAGGCAGCTCATGTATTCAGCACACATTTTTTGCATACAAAAAATGACGAAGCTGGATCACGTTAAAGCTATAAAATGTGGTGCAGCCTTTGTGACGTCCAGTACTTCCTATCGTAAACTTCAACTTAAACACTTTACTGTCAAAAATGTTTGCCTATGTAAGCAAACACAAATATGGTTTTATTAGAATTGTAACGGCCAAATTTTTTTTCAAAAATCAGTAATTTGTACATTTATAGACATCCAATTTTAGTAGGTATAAGAAAATTTTTTTCTTAACTGAACGTAACTCTGACAAAAAATTCGTTCAATGCAAAAAAAACGTTCATAAATTTTGAAAATCCATGAAGGACATTCGTAATTTAAATCATACAACTAAAGTTTATGATTTATATTGAAAATCGCATTGGAATTTGTATTGAAAATCGTATTGAAAACTTAAAAAAAATTGGTTAATTATTTCTATTGAAGTTCAAGATTAAAAAAAATTTAACAATCCATTTTGTATAACTTAAAATTTTTAACCACTGACCAACAATATTACTAGTTAACTATTTTTCATTCGAAATCGAAAAACCAATGAACATAAAATGTATTTTTTTGGCACGTTTCAACAAATAACGAGTTAGAAATGTAACGATTTATTAATCACAAGACGTGATAAGTTGTGGACTTTATTTTATTTACGCTTGAGAGCCATAAATGTAAATTAAAATAAAAAAAAAAAAAAAAAAAAAAAAAAAAAAAAAAAAACAAAACATAAAAAAAAAAAAAAAAAAAAAAAACCACAAAAGACATTCAGAACACGTATCAAGAATACAATACAAACTTAGTTTAAAAGTTGACTGTAAAAATATACCAGTTCAAACGTAGACCCAGAAAACAGTGTGACAATCTAAGTATTTCATAATAGGCGTAAAACAGCGTCATTGTTATTACCGTTATTTTATAAATATTTAAAAACGTACTAACATGTGGGTCAAAGTTTTACTTTTCTCCTGCAGCTTATACAATTTTAAATAATCAAATGTACTACTTAAGTTTTTTTGCAGTCAGCTTTTAAACTTATGACACATAATAAGTCACCTACAACCCATTACCTCATGCAGCTTCAAGTGTCATAAATAAAACCTGCTAGACATGTGTATACATACATTAACAACCAGATTTGTGTCATCACCGCCATTTGCTTTTCGTCCATAGTGTTGCACTAAAAGGATATTTTATAATTATGCATACGTAATATATATGCATGTACGATATATTACAGTACACTACAACAGGCTGACATATATTAGCCTGACCTTAATGGTGGTTCATCGAAATTGACACGATTACCAGTGAAATACTCTCTAGCATTGGTAAAAGACAACTTCGTCATTTAGCCTTCTTAATTTGATGATTCTTTGAATAACGATAATATACTGGTAGCTTGTTTAAATTTTATAGTCGGTAAAATTCCGTTTACTCTTTGCGGTTTTTAAAATTAAAAAATTTTTTTTTCCAACTCTTCGAAAGGTTTATAAATTTATGAACTATTTTTGTTAAAAATTTCAGTCTTTAAAATAGAAGTTTAAAAAAAGTAAAAGTACATAGATGATTGTAAAGACTGAAATTGTTGGGGACAATTAAGATGCCATCGTAGCGAGTGGATTTTATTGAAACGAAGATAAAAAGGAATGTCTGATCGATTTGCTACTATTATGGTCCTACAAGAGGGAAGAGCCCAAGGAGAATAAATTACTCCATGTCACGTCACGCTTTCGTCAATCACACACGTCTTCAATTCGAAACACATCTATGAGATATGCACTTCGCAGTGTAGTACCATATTATCTACAGCACTAAAGTTACATTTTCTTGTCCGCTACGATTTACAACATAATCAAGACATAGTCAATAAATACTTTCAACTGAATCAACTTTACGTAAAACTTTTTTTTTTTTTTTTAATTAAAAAACGAAATTTGCTAAGTTGCTCGTAACTTGGTAAGATAGATATTTTCAATACATTGGCTACTACTTGCTGCCATTAATAATTATTTAAAATTAATTAAAAGTGTTTGAATTTCTTCCATAATTTTTGCTAGACTGTAAAATATTGAACGAAATATATTTTTACTCATTTAAATTAATAAAAAATTGACGTAAGTTTCACAATAATGCATATAAAAATGAAATCTA